TAAAAGGGCTTTTACCCAAGTCAGACCCCATAAAAGTAAAGCAGCGTGAAGGGGTATCTCGCCAGAATACAGAAACGTGAAAAGCAGATCAACAGTCAAAGTTCTCTGACTAAGGACATCTGAATTTAAGCTAAGAAACACATCTGCTAAAGGTCAAAAGTCACATCTCAAAAAGAAAGAAAAGTCTTATATGCTGGAAACTGTCTGAAGGGGTGTGTCAAAGGGCTGTGCAGATAGTGCCTGTTCGTGCAATATAAAGTGTCTATTCGAATAGGTTGTGTGTCTGTTCGTCAATTTGTTGTGTCTGTTCGAAGGTCAAGATAATTGTAAAGTCCCAATACTGAATTAAGTTCTGTAGGCAGTCCAGATCCAGTCCTACTGTCCGAAATACAGACCGAATGCCAAAAAGCAGCAGTACCTTTCTGGGATATCACTGGGACACATGCAATGCAGGGCCTGGGACAGGGCCGAAGTGCCAATTCAGATGCTGAACGTGGAATCCAGCACTATAAAGGAGGCTGCTCGCCTCATTTGTGGCAGATTCCTCACTGGCATGGAAGTGCTGGCCACTTGTGTGCTATTTGGTGGGAGGAGGAGGATGCGCTGGAGCTGGAAGAGGTGCTGAAGGCAGAGGCTGGGCGCTGGTGCAGGATGATGCAGCCTTAGCTGCCTGGCCAGGATGTTAGTAGTAGGAGCAGCCATAGCTGCCTAGCACAAACTAGAAGAGGAAGACCCGTGAGATGCATTCAGAGTAGGTCCTTGAGAGAGAAGAGAGAGTGTTCATGCATACGAGGGAGAAAGGAACTACATCAGAAGTTGTTCAAGAGCTTTGGGCTATGGAAGATACTTACCTGGACTGAGACGTGATCTCCAGAGGCAGCGCTGTAGTGTACATGCTGTCTTGATGCGTTAGGGACTGAATATGTGATGAGCTGGGAGTGCATATGAGTTCAGGGAACATTGACATTTTTTTGTAAACATAATTTTGATAATATAAGCTGCGTCATGCAGCATTCTTCTCTCCTACCCTTGTCTAAGAGTGATGGCTACAGTTCTTTGAGAGTGACGAAGTTGCATGATCTATACATTTTGGCGTGAGATGGTCCACATGACCCATGCAAATTTTGGTATCAGAGCTGTTACTCGCTGCACTCATGGGTGCTGGCATGATGAAGGCCGGCGAGAAGGAAGAATGAGTTGGCAATGAGGGATTAGTAGGAGGGAGAAGAAGAGAAAAGAGAAGAAGGGAGGTGAGTAGGGAAGTAGGCTGAAGAAGAAGGGCCTAATGATTACTTACCTAGACCTGCGCAACGAGGAGCTTCATCAAGGTCTTCAAGAAGAGTGAAGCACCTCTATCCCCTTGACCTGCATGCATGTGTGTGTCCCCTACCTCTCTCTCTCCCTCTCTCCCACACTGAAGGTGACTGCTGCTGCTGGACAGAAACTGGATCTGKKTCTGGACCACTATAGATTGAGTCAGAGTCTGGTGTCACAGACTGGTCCCAAAGAGTGTCTCGTCAGAGTCTGATCTAAGTTGGAATGATCAAGGGACTATGATTAGAAGTCCTTTCTGCCTCTCTACCCTCTTGATAGGTATATTAGTGCCAGGTTATTGGAGGTTGGGAAGTCGTTGTGTATGATACATATCAGAGTGCGAAGAA